AAAACAGACTCCCAAACTTCTAGAGCTGCTGAGAAAATGTCCCTTAATTCACCCTGATTACAAAGTGAGATGGCATTAGCAATAGGTTGTGAATTAGAAGTCCAATACATGCAAGCATTTATGGTTTGAAGTTAATACTTCACGCTATAACAGCAAATTAAATCTTTTCAAAGGGGAAGAGAGGCCTTTGCAAACCATGATGATTTGCAAGATCGTGAACTGCAGAAGTACCAGCCAGTTGGGCAATGCTTTGTGGCCTCAACCCAGGATCGAACACGGGTGTACCAGACCTTGGACTCGTGTACTGTTTATTTCGCAGAGAACATCAAATCCATTATTCAGAGCGAGAAATGAAAAATGGGACAAGAAAGAAGTTGCATACATGGGATTAAATGCATCTAATAAAGCTTTCTTCTAGCATTATTTAGAGCGTTTGTCATGCAAGTACTGACAAAACAGAATTTTTCTATTTTTAAGCAGCAGAAACAGGCAGTGCGCTTTCAACATCTGTACCACTGGCAGAAATAATCATGTAGTAACAAGCCCACATACCAAACGCCACCTCTCAACTGCAGTCATGCAGGGTACCTGCTCCCATCAACGCACAGCTAGATCTCCCCAGCAGCCCACCTCCACCTCCCCCAGCCTGGGCTCCTCATTTCAATGCAGGGGACGAGGTGGAGGGCTGGATGGGGGCACCCCTCAGAGCCAAAGTACAGCAGCTTGCAAACTGGAAGAGGCAGCATTTATTTCTTTGTGTGTTGGGATCTACAAGTGAGCTTTGGAATAAGCATACAGCTGACATAGGTGTAGTTTTACACTGAACAGTCTTGACAACTAGTACCTGCTGTACATGTACAGGCACTTCTGTTCAAGTCAGAGACGTGATGAATTTCCTAAACTCAGACACCACTAGAAAGAGACTGAAAACCCTTAACACCTGGTGGTATTACTGCTTCTAATAATGCCACGTACAGAAGCATTTGCTTAAGTGCCATACACAGGGAACACTATTTAATATTAAGGAAAATATAGCCACATCTACAAATTGAACATTCTTACAAGAAGTCAAAATAGTTATACACTGTCCTAGCCAAAGAGCAGAGTCATAAAAATCTGCTTTTTTCCATACCAGTTAAAATCCCACAGAATACAGGAAGGTTATCCAACATGGCCAAGTATTAAAGAAAAAAACTATGAGCTGAGGGTGAGAGAGGAACCTGCATCTTCTCAACTGTCCAGGAGAAATTAAAACTAGCATGGGATGCAGACTTTTAAAGTTTTACTGCAACACCATGTAATTTCTTACATACCTTCTTGCATTGGTATGAATGTACCTTTTTCTGGTTTACCCTAAACCACTTCCAAAACAACCTGACCTAGCTTTGGAAAGCCTATTTGCAATGGATTAAAGGCACATCAGGAATCATGTCACAATACCAAGAGTAAAATGCATGCATTGATACCCCAACCTCAGGACTCACACCAGAGCTCAGACAGTGCCAGAATCCAAACTAACTCAAGCGGAGCCCCCAGCTGCGGCACCTCCTCGGCCCAGGATCAGGATCTTGTGGAAACTGCTAACGTTTATGTCACATTTAGATGAAACTTGTCACTAGAGATTGTTCTGAAACCATGAAAATTGAGGAGCTGGCTTTTTAAAACACAACAACATGTAAATACAATTTAGCAAAATGTTCCATCTTGCTGCCTGTCTCAAACCTTAGCACAGACCAAAGCGCAGCTCCTTGGCCCATTCAGTGCATGAGCTGCAACATGGAAACCTAACTATTCCCGTGACATGTGGAATATATATCAAAATCTTGCAGTAAAACCACGAACTCATTTTTACAGTGGTCATTGAATAAAGGCACCCAATGGCTGGCATCAGTATTTGTTGAGCTTTCCTGGATGTGAATGATTGACTGAGACTGTGGACACAAAGCTTATTGACCAGTCTGGGTAACCAATAACCTGAAACCACTATCTTAACCTTGAGAAGTGACCTTTTGAATGAAGAGGTTTTGCCATGTTTTAAAGAGCCATTATTTGGAATGACAAGTCCAACAGGTCTAATCACGAGACTCTGAAGAACCTTCAACTGTACACTACAAACCTGCATCAATACAGCACAGGTCTAAGACAAAACATCATTAGTACTATGACCCACACCTCAAGTCCAACACACAGGAGATACAGGATTTCTTTTTTAAACCAGTAATTGGGTATGTCCGTCTTTTAAAGACTTGATTGTTGGAGAATTATAAACAAGATCTGACATGAGAAGGTATTTTTCAGAACATTTCTGAAAGAAATTCTTCACACAACAGCTACCTGATAGATCCAGCAGTTCCTGGGTTTTCTGTTCTCTGTGTTTTCAGAAGAGATCAATAAGCTCCTATTTGACTTACTAAAATATACTGTTTACTGATTCACTAATTATCACTGATTAGAAAAATGCAATTCTGCAGCAAAGCACTGTCTTTATCTGTTGTCGGGCACAACTGAGAAGCACACATGCACCGTATTTCTGGATTTGTACCAAACTGACAAGTAAGGTCTTTGATGATTTGTAGACTTCAGGGTATTTATTTTCCCCACACAAGAGAGGCATACCCTGGTAAGCCTAATAAAACAAGAAAAAGAAACGTACAAAGTTCTAAGTCATTGTGAGACTTTTTCTTGCTGCAAACAATGAGTGGTAGTTTCAGTTAGTTTTTTTAGTGGCTTCCCAGAAACAGTTTGGCATGATTTACCACAATATCTACAGTATTCAAGTTAGGTTTTGGGGTTGGTTTTTTTTTTTAAATTAAACTAAGAAAATAATTTTTAGAAACTCACGAAACTTGTTTTCTTGATTAATAGCTACCCTAGTTTAACAGGTAAAACAGCAAGATCATCTAACTTTTTGCAGAAACATATTTAAATTGCAACCTCGTAAATTATACTTACAAATGGAAATGATTAAAATTCCATTAAGGCATTAAGAAGCAAATATACAAAATTTACATTACTGCACAAGTTTCCCCAGCAAAACTCAGGTGTTTCTGTGGATAAGCTAAAGATGCAATCATTAACATCATTACAATGAAAGTTATTGCACATAAAAACCCTGGCAATTACCACCACTGCCAACATCCACCCATACCATTACACTGAAAGGAGAGAACAAGCAGAACATACAGGCAGAGGCATTGCAGGAAACGACCTACCGAAACCCTTGTTCTCTGATTGCAAAGGCTGGCGTTTCCAAAGGGAAGATCTCAGACTGGACAAACAGCTCGCGCACCCGACGATCTATGACTTTCCCATACTGTGCTCCGGCATCGAGTATGACAACGGCTCCCTCGTAGTGGTGCTGCCCATCCTTGAGCTCTCCTCCGGCGTTCTCCGGCTGCGAACACCACTCACATCAGCACTTTATGGTGACACATTGCAGACCGCAGACTTCAAGCCAGATCTCTTAAACAACTAACATCTGCAAAGCTTGCTAAGGTTGCCTATAAGTTAATTTATGATTAAAATGATAAAGACTAGCCAAGAAACTTCTAAATGAAAAAATCATCAACTTTATAAGGGCGAGTAGATGCATTGGCAAGATAAAGGGGCTACACATTAACACAGCACATCCCTCCCAAGCAGCCACACAAACATGACATCCCCATCCCCCAAAACAAACAGGGTACAAATTAGGGAAGAAAAACGCTAATAAGCTAATGAAGGCAGAGCTTTCCATAAATAAGAAGTCATATGCCCTGTTCACCACTACAGCCACGACAGCTTTTTCCATTTTACAGTTCCATATAAAACCCAGCAGACCCTATGATAATTAAGAGTATGTGCCTTTTTCTCAAGCAAAACAGGATAGTGCAAAGTCAGAAGAAAAATGTTTTTCCCCATCACACTGCCTCGTACGCTGAACTTTCACTTGACATTACCTCCTGGAGATAATAAAAAGGAGAAATTGAGAACAAATGTCTCTGCTAAATGATTTTTCAAAAAAACCCAACTTTTGAATGCAGCATTCAAGCAGATTGCACATTGGAACAAAGCAATGGTTCTCTTTGACCCCATCACATTTGAACTGGTTGGCCAACTTCAGCTAAATCTGAAAGAGGGCTAGAAAATGCAAGGACAAGTTTCTTCTTTTTTTAAAAGAAATTGTGAAAAGAGGCAGCTATTCCATGGAAGTGTCCTTATCGGAAGATCTTCAAAGAAGAATGTGAACACAACCACACTGTAAGACACCAAGAAATTCATGCACAAAAAATTCTGCTGCTTAAAGAAATTGCTTACTTTGGGGGTGTTCTTCCCTTAACTTAAAGCTTACACTGTTTCCAATGTAGTTGGAATGTTTCCAAACTGCCAATGTAGTTTAGTGAAGGAAAAACCAGGAAGGGTTTTACTTCAGCAAACACTGCCTCAAAACACATCTTGAAGCTTACGACCATTTCAAGTTTTAATTAAGGCATGCTGGAGTTGTTCTGCACGTTTGTACCAGGCAACACATCCTTCGATCCAGGGCTCACAGGAGGCTCCCGCCAACTGCTGCTTAGGCTCCGAAGGAAGCTGGGGCAGCCTGCAGCATGCCATGGTATTTCCATGTGGGTCAGATAATCACCCCTCATCAGCCACAGGTCATTCTGGAGGAGAGCATCATCCTGCTGGGACACATTCTCCCCAACAAATACACAGCAAAGGCTGCACTTGAGCTTTCTTCCTCAGCTACCAAGTGACACCTCAGATAATTGTCTTCAAATTAGTCAAGGAAGTTAGTTACCAGTCAAGCACACTGGTAACTTCCAAAGTTTACACTAGCTGGAAAAGGTTTTATCTAAATTAAAGGACATAAGCAGAAAAAATAGTGCTAAATCCCTCAAAAGCCTAAATCCAGGTTACAATCAGTTACTTAATTTCTTTCCTTCAGCTGGTAGCTGAGTGTGCCTCATGAGGAGCTCGTAATGACTTTTTAGTCTTGGGTTACACAATAAAAAGGGCACATGCTGGAAGAGAGCAGACTTCAGCAGCAAACACCCCTTCAAACCCCCTGGTCAGATGGGGAGAGGTCACCAGAACTGTCTTCCCTTCTAGTGGAAGGGAGGGAATCGCTTTTAGAGTAATTCTGGGCATTTTCACCCAGCAACTTCTAAAGTAGCAGTTCTTGTGAGAAAGACCAATATCCTTATGCTTTCCTGATCCCATCTTGTGGCAAACACTATTCCTTGCAGTGCTATTTCTTATTAAAAGTCTTTGTTTCAGAGCACGTGCTGTAGCTTGAACCACAAAGGGACAGAGCTCTGCAGCCCTCTTGGCTTAGTGTCCGAGATTGTCCATTTCCACCTGCAAGAGACCAGGGTGGGACGTAAGCAGTCCCCTCCAGACCTCCGGGCAAGCCAAGGGTGCATATAGCCAGCCCTTGCACGGATGGGTCCCACCTGCCAGCAGTGCTACCCACACGTCATACCCTCGCATTTCCCAACCTGCAGACCACCCCTAACAACCTGCAGAATGAGTAAGAAGAAAGTAATACAACTCTGTGAAGGCAGCTTTTTACATTTTACAGTAAAAAAAATACTGAAACCAAGTTATTGTTGGCATCAGCTCAGCTGGATCAATGGCCAAGCATTTACATCTGCAGCTAGTATACAAATCTTGCTTCCAGTGCCCTACCCTGAAGGCACCAAGATGCTTTGAGCAGTCAGGTGTAGTTAGCTGGGCCCAAGCAACAGCTGAAGGGGAGACATGCATGTGAAAACAAAAAGAGCTCAAAGTTACATTGGCAGCAGGTTGAGAAACGTTGCATAAGGCAGCATAAGTAGGTCTGTATCTCAAATGAACCTGCACCTTCCTTAGTTCTCCTCAGCAAAAGCAGGACAGTAACACATACCCCTTTGTCACAAGGATGAACAGGACAAGTCTCTGCACTGCAGTCACCCAGATGTGAGCACTCGGCTCCCGAGCTGGTAAACCCCTTCACTGAGCCACCCCTGCTTCTTCACTCTTGCCAAGTATAGCATCATTTTGCACAATGATCAGAGGAACACTTTCAGAGATAACTGCATCAACATTAGAATTAATTCTCAATCATTTATGTGGCCCTGGAAGACGACTGTTAAGGCTTCAAGTAATAGCTCATTGCCCAAGTTTCACTGGGAGCCCATTAACACCCTTCCAAAAATCTCAAAAGCCAGCATCTAATCATAGCTCAGAAGGTCTTTCCTCAGATGATGCTAAAGGCATTTCAGCTAAAATCCAGTAAAAGCACTGCATCCATTGAGCAACACAGATCTCCCTACGGGGAACATGTAAGATGAGCAAGGCAACATGCACCTCACCAGAAAAAAAATACTCAATTGGTGGCCTAATAACTTGCTGCTCCCTTAGATGTGGGCTTAGAGTAAACTACAGGCTGAAATAATTTTCTCCGAGTACTACACAGGGCACTGCCCACTGTCCTTTTCTCCTGTAGGCATCCTTGCAGCACATCCCCAGCATACATCCAAGCAAGCCCCATCCCAGGAGTTAACACAGGCGACTATCACCACACTGCGTCAGTGGGGTTTTTCTACTCTAGCTCAAGAGTGAAGTACAATGTAAGGAGGTTCAGCTCTGAAGAGAGCCCAATAGAAACATTACCATAAATCACACAGAAAAAGAAGAAGGAGAAAGGTGGTAAGTCAGTACAGGATCTTAATATCCACTTACTAAATATCAAAAGATTTCATTGGAACATAGAATCATTAAGGTTGGAAGAGACCTCCAAGATCATCGAGTCCAACCGTCAACCCAACACCACCATGCCCACTAAACCATGTCTCTAAGCACCTCATCTACACGTCTTTTAAATACTTCCAGGGATGGTGACTCAACCACTTCCCAGGACAGCCTTAGTCTGCGTACCTGGGAGACCAGCACCGACATAAAACTGTCGCAGACTTGGGAGGAACCCACAGCATCTCCTTGGGGACTTCTGGTACCAGTTTCCCATGGTCCCATCAGTGCTGTTTAGCTGTGCGAGGGGGCACATGCTGGAGTGCTACAGAAACTGCGTTTCACATGAAGTTATTCAGTCAGTATATCCTGGATTGCTTTCTTTCCAATCAGTGTGTTTTAATGGCTCAAAACCAGACATCTTTTATTTGAGATACGCTTGGCTTTGCAATGTGTAAGCTGGAAATCAGTTCAGTTTAGCAATGTTGTCTATGGATATGCCAAAGGAGGTTGTCTTTTTATTTTTTCAAAGGACGTGATCAAGAGCATGTACTTCAACTAGTCTAGTGATTTATTCCCTCCCTCCCCCCCCTTTTGGTTCAGATTTATAGTTTAGGTGATATCAAAAGATATCACCTCAGATTTCATTGGAACATGTTTTGTTTTGGAGAGGTCATTAAATGCTATTTCCTAATGTGGCAATACCGTTATTAGGCAAAACTCCTGTTGCAGGTGCCTTGTTAAGGAGGCCCTCCTAGTCAAAGTAAAGAGCAGTTGTGAAAAGTTGTTGGGGTTTACATAGAGCGGCAATATCCATGTGCCTGGAGGCTGGCAGAGTGCAAGGCACAAAGAGCAGTCCAGATTTATACGTGTGCTTAACTGTGTGACTGATAGTCTTGTCATAGCCATGCTGTGGCTAAGATCTGAATGGGAAATTTTTGCACGCTGCCTTGTCACCCCTCAGGTGCTACAGCATCAAAAAATGACATGCTGCACTTCATAACCACCTCTGGTATGGGAGGCAAAGGGCACCTGAACCAAAGTCTGAATCCATCAGGTTGAACCCTGTCCTCCTGCTTAGCTCTGTTCATTCCTCAATTGTTTTTCTAGATGGAGAATGGGTCCAGTGGAGACCACCAAGATGTGTCTTTACATAGACAGGTATTTCAGAAAGGCTGATCCCAAACAATAAAAAAAACTCAAAAAACAAAACCCGCCTTCAAGACCTTGAAAACAACTAGAGTACCCCCAACCACAAGATTTAAAGAAATTACTAAAAAAAAATCCAAACAACCAAAACATTGTATGGTTAATACCTACCTTCTGTATGTGCCTTCCAGAGTTTAATGCTCTGGGTTGTACCTTTTACCTCTTCCTCTTTATCATGAGGAGGTTATGTTTTCTACTGTGTGAGGTTGTGTTTTTTTAATTGGAGTCAACCTTCTCACAAAGCCCCACTCTTGGCAATCAAATGTTCCCTATCATCAGGCTTGTGATGAAACCTCATGAGTTATCAGTGCAGACACTGTAGTGGCTTCACATTTAAGGCAAAAGTTCCTTTCTGCACAGCCTAGAAATGCATTTGGAAGTGGAAACACTTGCCTTGACAATGGAAGCACAGGAGGGAGGAGAGCGATTGATTAATAGTCTGCGTACCTGGGAGACCAGCACCGACATAAAACTGTCGCAGACTTGGGAGGAACCCACAGCATCTCCTTGGGGACTTCTGGTACCAGTTTCCCATGGTCCCATCAGTGCTGTTTATCTGTGCGAGGGGGCACATGCTGGAGTGCTACAGAAACTGCGTTTCACATGAAGTTATTCAGTCAGTATATCCTGGATTGCTTTCTTTCCAATCAGTGTGTTTTAATGGCTCAAAACCAGACATCTTTTATTTGAGATACGCTTGGCTTTGCAATGTGTAAGCTGGAAATCAGTTCAGTTTAGCAATGTTGTCTATGGATATGCCAAAGGAGGTTGTCTTTTTATTTTTTCAAAGGACGTGATCAAGAGCATGTACTTCAACTAGTTTAGTGATTTATTCCCTCCCTCCCCCCCCTTTTGGTTCAGATTTATGGTTTAGGTGATATTATTTATTTATTTATTTAAAGGCACAGTTCCAAGGCTAGAGATTTTGAATCCAAATGTAATAAGGGAAACATCATTTAATAAAATTAAAAAAAAGAACAGATGCTGTTAACATGCAGCCAACATGGCAGTTTAGCTCATGTGTTTGTATACCATACGCATGCCAGGAAAAAGATGAAGAGGATACCAGGCAGCCCAGCTCATGCAGGGACAGGGTTTATGGACCCAGCACCTCTTCCTAGTGGGGATTCTCCAGTTTCTAATAAAAGTTCTTTTTCCCCTCAGTAGGGGTGTAACTAGAGTTCCTTGTCTTCTCCTGGTCTATTTTCACAAAAATCTGGAGAACTTGCTATTTCTGAGAACTTCTGTCAAAGCTGGTTTGACAGCTCTCCAAGGCTCCAGGTGTTGGGGCAGAGCAGCGGCACCAGCCTCGTGTCCCAAGAGCAGGACTAAGAAAACAGAGTGGGACTGAAGTATGCCAAGAAAGAAAGGGGGAGGGGGGAAGTCTGTATTCAGTTAATTTAAACCACAAGAGTCACCCTGAAAACCATGTCATATGTGAAGGATTCCTACTGTTCTCTACGACTCATGAAACAAATAAAGCAATTACACTATCTAAGATAGTGTATCTCCCGACTGCCATTTGCCTGCTGTTTCACAGCATTTCTCCAGACCCGAGACCTGGAACCAAGGTCCAGAGTGCCACCTGAACCATATCGCCACCTCCGACTGCACTGCCGCGGCAAGGGTCAGCCTTGATCCATCATTTCAGCTCTACCACTTGGTAACACTGGAAGAAAAAAGCTTCCATTGCTGTTGGGGGTTTTTGTGTCAAAAAAAAAAAGTAACTGAGTTCTATAACGAGCTGTGGTAGGAGACCTGCCATCAGGCTTGCATTACCAGCTAAGGACACCACATATCTTATTCCTCAGTGTACCTACCTAGTGCTTTAAACTAAGTTTGCACATTCCTAACAGCCCACTTCTGCAGAATCAGGGAATTTTTCAGCATTTCACACACCCACACGCTCGCAGGATTTTCATTAACACAATTTATAAAACACATTAACATACAAAACAGTCATATTCTGGAGCACCAAGAAGCACCTGGCAGAGCCCGGTCTGCAGCAGCAGCCCCTCTGCCCGAGCCCTCAGCCCTGAGCTTTCACCCACACTAACAACTTAGGACAAGCCTCAACCAGGAGCCTTGATCTCGCACTTTCAAGCCAGCACAGATTTTACAAGAGTTTAATTGTTTCCCTGTGGTATTAAAATTAAGCATTTAATTTAACTCATTTTTTCAAAGTATAACAGGAAGGTAACTCCTTCAAACTCAGGCAATCCCCAAAAGTGATACAAGAACCCCCAAACCGTTATCTCAGACAAACTTTAATTTACATAAGTCGCGTGCAGATTTCTAATGGCTGCTGGGACCCGGCCCCCTGCGGAAACTGCTCTCGTGAGCTCTTGCTACCCGCTTCCTGCGAGAGCACGGTTCGTGGAAGATGAGCTTCGCATCGCATAGCTAGCTGGGGGTGTGACCACCCCAGAGAAGAGGAGCCCTCAAGAGCAGCCCTGGCCAGGGA